ATAGTTTTGTATTGTGTAATTGCAAAAAAATAAAGCTTGCCGTAACTGTCGTGATGCTAAGTTTGTGGTAGTAATGTACCTTTCTGCATGAGGGTAAAATGACAACGACACCACATTTATTTAGGTTATTGTGGCCCCTACTGTTATACTTGAGAGTTGCATTGTGTGGCAGGAAGTGGTTCACGTTGATAAGGAGTTTCGTGAGTTTGAGGAAAGAAACGAAAGTGTGAGGTGCATATACGGCAAGAGCTCTGATTTTTTTCCAATTACTCGTAAATTCCTGTTTAGAAGGCGAAACGGTAAGTGGCCATTACTAATGTGTGTTTTATGTTGTTGAGATGCATGTAGGTATATTGTGCATCGTGTAATTGTATATTTTTGTCATCATTTTTCCACCCCAAAAATGGTGTTCATCAGCGTTGGACGTGTGGACAATAAATGCTGTTGAACATTGCTCGACTCGTCAAGTTGTTCGAAACTAGGAAGAAAACCTTCAGCAGCAGTGACACAGACTACTTCATGGATTTTTGCCTGTTGCGGGTCCTTTTTGGAACGTAACCCCCGCGATAAACGAGGGTTCACTGTATTCCCTAAAAGTCATGGAATCGATCACATCCGATATATCTTTTCTGATTGCCAAGGGGGGGAAAAGACCTTGCTACACTTCATCCAAGACTCCCCAGGAGACTATGTACCTTTGGAGGACATTGCAACAGCGTTGTCCATTTCATCCAATGCGAAAGAAGGCCAGAGGCCAGTGGTAAGACACATTATTGTTCTTCTGCAAAAAGTGTCATTGCCATTGTGGATTTCCTAGATAGGACTTTCCCGGTGTGGGGTGAAATGGAACAGCAGGAGAAACATGTGTTCAACAACCCACACGTCAGTCTCGTGAAGTTTTACGTCAGCACCAATGCGCGCATCCACCCGGCCTCCCCACAGAAAATATCACGGTCGCAACTGACTCGTCACAGCCCATCAGACCGCAAAAACTGGAAATTACTTCAATGGATTAGTGCCATTATATCCATGATACTGTAGATAGAGAAATAGATTGTGTGCAAAATCTGGTTCCTCAAAGTTAAGGAATGATATTGAGACGGTTACGGATGTCCTTATCTCACACTGAACCGCAGTAACCGGCCAATCATTCATATCCTTGTTTTGAAAACGAGAAAGGACTTCCAGTATTGGAAAGAAAATTTTACCTTGAGTTCTCCTTAGAGGGTGCTCCACAGGCTTTAAATAAGGTTGAGGTCAGTGGACGATGGGTTTTTCATTCTGTTATGTCCGTGGGCAGCCCAAGCTTCAACTCTATTGCCACATTCTCATCACTGGCTTTTGAACAGATTCTCTCAAAATGAGATGCATTTGCTTGACAAAAACCTTCCTACACATGCCTTTATCGGAACAAACACATTTGGGCTAATTCACACACAAAATTTTCAACAGGACACTGATTTTTTTTAATTTTTATTTTTTAATGTCCATTGTTTTCATTCGTTCCCCAAGGCATGGGACTATTTCATGCTTTTAATCAGCAGAAGGATAATTATTTTCCTCCATTATACATTTAAGCATGCGATTTGCTTGGTAATGTGGAAAAAACGCCTAAAGTAATATTAAGTAATTATGCTCAGCCGAGGAGCTAATTACCGAACGCTTGTGATCGATATCTGTGATGCAGATAGAAAGGACAAAACAATATTTGCAAAATCCTCCCCAGAAAGCTCAAATGTTGATTTCACTTGAATGTCCACCTACAGCACTACTAGTGAAGTGCTAGATGTGATCTCGTCAAATTTTCTTGTCATTAGTAGTACTGATATCACTTAGTTGGCAACTAATGCACAGTTTGGCCTCACTAGTTCTCACACGATTATGACAAAGTGGCACGACTAGTCCCAGGACACATTGGTTCTTGTACATACACCTTAAGATGGATGTCCAGAATATCGGATAAATGGCTGACAGCAAACACATGCTCAAATTTGTACATTTTGCAATATCCTTGATGTCAAAGTTTTTTGTAAAGGAATCTCTCCCCCCCCCCCCTCTCTCTCTCTCAATGAGACAGTGTGACATTTATGTTTGGTGGTGTGCTGTAGGACTTTTGCAATGTAAAATCGAGGCCCGTTGTTGATAAAGGTTGAGACACGCTGCGTTAGTCAGTCCTGTGACCATCAGTTTCGTCAGATCGCTTGTGACCTTCACCGATTTAACGTTGTGCACGGCCGTGTTCCTTCCAAGCACCGCCGACCTCCCGGCGACCTTTCTGAGGGTCTACATGCATCCTCTCAGAACACAAAAGACTTCGTTGTTGCAGCGTGCGCTCCAAATGCTAAAGAAAACGAGTGCGAGTCACATCGTCACTAGCTAGCGGACACGCTTGCTTTGTGAGGGAGGGCTTGCAAGTGAACCTTTTTGAATGTGTCGAGGTCAGCAGCTAATCCCGAAAAATTCCGCTTTTTCTCAAAACATAACTTGACACATTTGTGTTCATGACTCAGTCATCTGTGAAATGTGTTTTATCTGTGGGTGCTTGAAATGTCTTCATTCATTCAATACAGTAGAAAGCCAAAATCTTTGAATGCTCCTCGTCCGGAAAATATTCACTTTTCACATTTCACAGTTAGGTTACGCCAGGATTCATACACAATAATACTCTGCCTACTGACCCTGCATTTTATTGAATAACTGATCTATTAATTATAATCAAAGAATAAAATGTAGAAATGGGCGGCCCGGTGGTCCAGTGGTTAGCGCGTCGACCTCACAGTGCAGAGGTACCGGGTTCAATTCCAGCTCCGGCCTCCCTGTGTGGAGTTTGCATGTTCTCCTGGGCCTGCGTGGATTTTCTCCGGGTACTCCGGTTTCCTCCCACATTCCAAAAACATGCATGTCAGGCTGATTGAACACCCTAAATTGTACCTCGATGTGAGTGTGAGCGCGGATGGTCGTTCATCTCTGTGTGGCCTGTGATTGGCTGGCAACCAGTTCAGGGTGTCCCCCGCCTACTGCCCGAAGACGGCTGGGATAGGCTCCAGCACCCCCCGCGACCCTTGTGAGGATAAGCGGACCAGAAAATGGATGGATGGATAAAAATGTAGAAACCTGCATGAATTACACTGCTCAACAGTCAATTTTCATCAGATGGCTAACGTGTTATGTTTATTTGGGCTTTAATGTCTCTACCGTGTATGCATGAGCGAGCAAAATAATGGCGAAATGCGCTCGAATGTGGCTACAAGATTTTCATAGTGTTAGACACATTGGTTAAAGATTTCGTCACCCAGCGCCAAACCTGACACCAAACTACAAAATGCCATTAAAAAAAAAAAGGGGCTCCCTCTTTTCACCAGGAAAAAGAAAATCTGCCCTTTTCCGTTCTTTTATACTCAGCAGTCGAAAAAAGGCTTATCTCTAGTTTAATAAGGCTTATCTCACTCTAGTAAAATTTGTCCAGAATTTGTATTTGGAAAGCCAGATGAGCGCATTGTGGTCGACTGTAGCGTACTTTATTCAGCCTGTAGGGCCCTACCTATTAACCATGCAGCAGTCGTAGAGGGAAAGCACTTGAAGCAGCTATGAAAGACAAAAGTCTAATCCACAATAAGTCCCATTTCAAGTTCACTGTATGAATCTGACATCTAAATCAAAGTGAATTTCGAAGTGTGAGATTGTGAGGGAAATAAAACCTCTTATTCGTGTCACTTGATGTGTAAATACAAAAATGACAACTTTGTACTTTTTTTTTTGCAGTGCAATGACGACGTTTGCACCCGTTGAGGACGTCGCTCATCAAGTGTGAGTCAAATCTCATCCAATCAAGTGCAAAATGAGACATTCCACCGTATACAAATTATTGTCTCACCTTGTTTTGAAAAACAAGTGAATAAAATCAAGGCCATAGTTTGCAATCCCAGCTGGTTGCTTTGAGTTAGATTTTTTTTTTGGGCGGTGGGAGGGCTGACGTATGTGTTTTTTTTGTTTTTGTTTTTTTCACAATTTAAAACAGTACCCAGCGTCATCATTGAAAGTCTGTTGCTTATCTGTTGGCCTTCACATGATCATGCTCGTAATGATCCAGCACACTGAAATCATTTTGTTGGGACATTCACTTTAATGGCAATTGTTACAGATTAGCATCACAAAAATAGCAGTCATTGTAGAAATCAAATCAAATCAACAGCACGAACATTCATAAAACATAATTTTATGATACTTTTTTCTATCTGGCAAAGCAACAATGCAATCTCATAAATAGATAAATAAATTCCTCTTACATTTTCAGATATAGTTCCGTTAGATATATATTGTGTGTTAATATAGCAAAAAAAAGTACTTGGCTGGTCCTAACAACACATTTTCACCATATGGATATAACCTGATGTGTGTCTATGTAAGTAGTGCTGTATAGAACATCAAACAAATGCAGTAACACCTATTTATATCTACTACCTATATTGTAGAATAGAGCACATTCAGATTAAACAGTCACAGGGCATCCTGAATGTCATTCTTCTTTCTTTCTTGCTTGCTTGCAAGCTCTCTGTAGCACAGAAGCAACATTGATCACCCCACTCAACACGCTCTCACCCCTCCTCCTCTGCTCGGCTTTGATTCTCCTTCCATTACTTGGTAATAAAGATAGAAAATAACAGTCCCAGCGCCATTCGTCCAGGTTCTTATTGGCGGTCACAAGGCCTCGGGGTCCTTTCATCTCCATTAAATCAATGTGAGCGTCATCTGCTGGCTTGTGCCTGATCAGTCCACCCATCATGTGTAATTGCTTGTGTCCGAAAGGCAAAGAGTCCAGTATTAGCTTAGTGTTGTTGTACTAATTCGACAAATGTAGCATTGTCATCTCATATGCAATAGTGGAAGCAGAGAGAAGTTACTATTATTATATTTTCTAATACAGTGGATACACGGATGATTAGAAAGTAGAATCTTGAAATCCCCAATCCCAGTTCTAACAAAAACTGGACTAAACAAGACAAAGTGATAGTCTGCTTTATTTTTTATGCTGCTTTGACATTTCTTTGGGAATTAGCGATGATAAGCCAACAAAGAAAATGGTAATGACGACAAAGGGAATTTATCCCCGAAAGCGGTACTGAAAATCGATAACAAATAAAGCACTTTTTTTATACATTGGTAAAGTTTAGGTGTCTTTTGTGACACCATTTTTATTAATAGTCGGCAGTTGTTTTTGTTGTCCTTTGTAGTTGATGTTTTTTGATGTGAATCAGCAATTAATAAGCGACGAGGAAAAGTTAATGACACCCGGGAGGGAATTTATAGCCAAAAGCCATCCTCATGATAACTCGCGCAAGAGTTGTTGTTTGCTGTTGTTGTAGTAGAAGTTGTTGTTTTTTTTTTGTTTTTTTTTTTAAACGACATCTTAGCTACAATCGGTGTTTCACTTGTTTTACAATTCGAAAAGTAGTCAGCTACCAAACCTGAATACACAACAGACTCTTAGAACTCAACAGTTCCATGCACAGACGACTCAACATTTGACTAAAAGCACGAGTTAGTCAAGAAATCCACAACGCCCTGATCCCAATCGTAACAAAAACTCGGTTTTGTTTGACATTTTTTTTGTGGTGAATCGATTATGATAAGGCAAGCCGGAAATTCTGTTTGCTACATTGCTTTTAAGCAGTTGTTGTTTTTACCTTACAATTGACAATTAACTACATAAAACGGGTACTTGTACTGTATGAAAATGTTTGATGATTTGAACTGTTAACCATTTTAATTGATTTTTTTTCCCCCTCAACCAATCAATTAAAATTCAAACCAATCATGGGTCAGACAGGTTCTTCGAACTGTTCTAGTTCTTTCAATTCACTACAATTATTCCCTAAAGTTGAAGTATGTCTGAGGCACTCAGAAAGCTTCCGAAAAGCCACGTTGAAATATTTGCTGACTTATCGTTAAAAGCTGCAGTTCACTTTGAATGTTAATTTGTGGTAAAAGCTGCAAAGACTGAAGTCTTAAGTCTCTCAGGTAATTTGCTGCACTTAGGCAAACTCGCAGGGCGGAACTAATTCTCTTGTCGCCGCCGATGTTTCCATTACTTTTGCGAGTGCGTGCCGTGATTCACTCCGCAGCGGTCAAATGAAAACATTAATCACAAAGATCTGCTCTCCAGATTTGCTTGGACAATTCCCAGAAGAAAATGCTTGACACAAAATGTTAGCGTTGCCTCGTGAGTTGACCTTCAAGCCATGAAACGAATCCACGATGTCACTGGTTGCAAACATGAGAACAGTGACCTCAGTACATGGTGTCACCTCAAATAAATGAGCCTTTTGCAGGACAGTCAGCATGAAGACAGTGTCTCCTTTCAGCCCGCCGTCACAGGAAATATGGCAAACGAAGTGGAAAACTTTCTACCAGACGCGGCACTTTTGCTCTGGGTTCATTGGACTGCCTTTTTGGCACTGGAACGCTTCTGAGAAAGCTTCAAAATTCTGCAGCGAACCGAGAACCCTAAGGAGAAAAAAAAACTCCATCAAGATGAGTTTGCAATATCCATCTTTAAAGGCTGAAAATTTAACCCAGAGAGTATCCAGAGAAAACCCAAATAAACTTTGTTTCCCTGGAAAACCCGGAGTCGACTGAGAGCCCTGGTGTCCCCAAAGGAAACCAGAGGTTGCTACAACCTTTAGTCTTAGAGGAAAACCCAGATTACCTGTACTTCACACACACATGGTTGGGAAGAACATCAAACTCCACACAGAAAGTCATCTTGTTTAAAGTAACTGACTGGAAATTAACCAAACATCCAGGGAAAACTGGAGCACTCAGAGAAAACTTTGCGAATCCAGGACTTCACAGAGAATACTTAAATCCCCAGACATTTGCAGAGTACCCGAGGAAGCCTGGAACCTCCTGAAAAAACTGGAGTTTCTGGAGAAAATGGAGAAAACCGAATTGGAGTACCTTGAGAAAATGGAGTACTTGAAATACCCACACCAAAGCATGGGAAGACCATGTAAACTCCACTAAGAAAATGAAAAACTGAATCGAACTAGGGCAGCCCAGTGGTCGACTGGTTAGCGTGTTGGCCCCCCAGTACAGAGGTGCAGGGTTCGATTCCGGACCTCCTGTGTGGAATTTGCATGTTCTCCCTGTGCCTGCGTGGGTTTTCTCCAAGTACTCCGGTATCCTCCCACATTCCTTAACTGTCATGGTACGTTCATGGAGCACTCTAAATTGTCCCAAGGTGTGATTGTGAGCCGAATGGTCGTTCATCTTTGTGTGCCCTGCGATTTCCTGGCAACCAGTTCAGGGTGTACCCCGCTTCCTGCCCAAAGACAGGTTCCAGCACGCTGGACAAGCGGATCAGAAAATGGATGGATGGATGGATGGATGAATCGAACTAGGGATCTTCTTGCTGTGCCGAAACAACGCCAACCACTCTTTCACCATACCATCTAGCGACCTTCCTATGACCCCTGACCTTGACCATTTGACAAAGCTTCATTCCTGACAAACGACACAGCCGACAACTCTCTGATTTCTAATACTGACTGACTTACTTTGTGGCCAGCTATAAATTATTTTACAATGGTGGCATGTACTGTACGTCTCACCTGTATTCCAACGGACTGTGAGAGTCCGTCTTGATGGACTGACTGGCATATTCCGGCCGATATGCACCGCACCAAACCTGAATGAAGTAAAGTGATCATTTCGCGTAGTGAATGGGCCTTTTGTCCAAAAGCACCAATCCTCCGCTAAATGCCTCAGATTCTTGGTGCACCTCCAAAATATCATGTATCCTTGTTTTCTTTGCTTACTTGGGCAAAGTTAAGAAAGAACAGCTGCTTGTGATCCATGTCTAAACCGGGCAGACGAGGCTCTTCGCCTTCTGTTTCCACCCACTTCAGGTAAGCCTGTAAACAAATCAAGTGTCAATTTTCAAAACACATCTCACGTGTCTTGTGTACCTCGAAATCACGCGGTGATCTACTCATGTCACAGCCCACCTTGTAGGCCTGCCGAACCCCTCCGTTATCTGCAATGTTTTCCCCTAAAGTGCTGATTCCGCTTACCTACAATGACAAGTCCATGAATGCACACAAACGCATCCCCGATGTCGTTGATCTATAGTCATGAACAAGCCTGACATTTTGTCCACCCGCGAGCTTCCAGTTGAACTTGCCGTACTGCTGCACCATGCACTGTGACTGCTCCTTGAAATGCTCCGCAGAGTAATTACTCCACCAGTTGAGCATGTTGCCGTCCTTGTCGAAACTACGCCCTGGCAGGGAAAAAAACCAAGTACGGTACATTAATTCAAGTACATCTTGAGTTGGTGCTATCCTCAGATCTAGATTATTTCATTTTGTCACATGTACAATACACAATGACATTTTGTCTCTGCATATAACCCATCACGAAGGAGCAGTGAATCGCAAGCAAAAGGTGGCCGTAGACCTAAGTACATGGGGCGGGGGAGGGGAGGTGACAGAGTACCAGCTAAAAATGGAATACTGTACCCATAACCCAAGGAAACTTGAAGTACACAGAAAGAGCGGGAGTACCCAAAGAAATCTGGAGTCCACTGATAAAAAGTGGACTATTTAACCCCTTGACTTGCCAGTGAAAACTAGATGACATGGCAAAAACTGCAGTTCAGAGAGAAAACCAAACTAACCCAGGAAACCCAGAGTTGACGCATACAAATAGATTCTTCAGACAAAACAAGGAGAAAACTGTGAGTTCCTGAAGAAAAGTGGACTACCTGGAGAAACTGGGCTACCCAAACAAATCTGGAGCGCACAGAGAAAACTGGAGTATTCTGAGAAAACCTGATTTAACCAGAGTAAATTGTTGTCCCCATGGAAACCTGGATTACGCAGACTAAACTGGAGTACCTCAAAGGTCTCAACGTGCGGTGCTCAGAGCGATCCATGGCAGAATCAAAATGGGGGATGTTATTGCTCGGAGGCAACAGTGCGAGTTTCTCTGCTGCCATACAAGCCCTTTGGTTGCCACATATTTTTAATAGTAGTAAGAGATAGCAACATGTTTTAGAGGCATTTCTGCATTTAAAGTAGCCACCATTTAGCAAGCCTTACCGTTGTCATCGAATCCGTGTGTGATCTCGTGGCCGATGATCATTCCAATTCCACCAAAGTTCAGAGCCTGCTGTTGATTTTTACTGAAGAAAGGCGGCTGCAGGATGCCTGCGGGAAACACTGGCAAGCACATGAAGGTGCACATGAGCCGAACTGAAGACGCTATTCAGAGCCGTCGTCATGAAAGATCTTACCGATCTGGTTTCTGTTGGGAGAGTAAAAAGCATTCACCACGGCCGGTCCGATGATCCACCTGAGAAGGAATGTTTGGAATTCTCTCATCAAGTATTTCTCCAGACAACATACTTGAGCCTTCATCTTTCATTGAGTGTTAACTTACAAGTTGGGATCCACTGGCTCTCTGAGCTTTTTGAGACTCTTGTGGGCTTCAGACTTGAGGTTCTCCAGAATGTTCTCAAAGTAGTGTTCCTCGCTAAAATTCAACTGAATGGGGAAAGCAATACAAATGAGTGGATGCAAGCATCTCTCTCTCTCTCTCTCTCTCTCTCTCTCTCTCTCTCTCTCTCTCTCTCTCTCTCTATATATATATATATATATATATATATATATATATATATATATATAATTAGTCAGTTATTTTCTCCATTAACACAGAGTGTCTGTATTCTTACGTGAGCATACTCTTGGTCCAGCTTCTGGTTACTCTTCTGCAGAATGTGATCTGGATAGCCAATATGCTCTTTGATGGCCATGGCCTGCAGGAAGTAACACCACAATTAGGCTGACAATGTTCAACATCTGCATGCATACAGTGATAGTCAATGAGTTGTACAGTATGTACTCCATTTGGGTGGGGAGGGGGGCTGATTTTAATTTTTTTACTGTTTTCATGTCCAGTATATTTTAAATGACACATGCCTGACATGGCTGTAAATCAACACATGACATCACCCCAATATTGTTGTTGTTTTTTTTTTTTTGTTTGTTTGTTTTGTCGTTTGGACAGACACAGGTGTGTATTCGGCACCAACCTGTATATCGATTACAGTAATCCCTCAGTATAACACGCTTCATCTTTCATAGCTTTGCTGTTTCATTGTTTTTTTTAATTTATTAATTAATTTTTTAAATCACAGTGCATTGTGTTCTGCATCCTGACTCAGGACTGTAGACAATGTCAACAGTCTCCCCACCTCTTCGCTGTACAGCTTGCCAATTTTCTCCATGACAAAACCCACAATGTCGACAAAACGTTTTCTACGGCATTTCTAAAAACTGTCAGATATTTTGTAAGATGTTTGGGCCTGAAAAAAGGTTTAATGTTTGGTTTCATTGCAAACGATATTGTATACCTAATAATTGTGAAAAATAAAGATCACTACCTCACGGATTTCGCTTATCACGGGTTTTGTTTTAGAACATAACGCCCGCGATAAACAAAGAATTACTGTCCATCGATCGCACATGGACAGGATAAGTCACTGTGCTTTGATTGGCACACACTGTATCCGATTTTTACACTCATTTGGAAGAGGCCTAATTCCAGTTTAAAAATTTCCGCTTCCGTGGTGGTATTTCATGGAAAACCCAAACAAGAGGACACCTCAGAGCAGACTTAGTAGAAGCTAAGAGGGGCTTGGATTGCCCTGAGGTCCAATGAAGGTTAAGGAGGCATCCAGAGACAGGGAACACTCCCTGCTTGGACGGCTCCCGCATGACCAAGACTCACATGAGCGCAGGCTAATGCCTGGATGGATGAACAGATGAAGACTACCTTCTCTCTGGCCTTCTCCTTGGAAGGTGCATCCATCCAACTTAGCTCCTCCAGTGTTTCTACATACGCTGTCTGGATCTTCCCGATGAGATCGCTGACCTAAGAACATGAACAAACCAGGATGATAGTGACTACACGCCCTGTAATTGATTGACGACCAGTCCAGGCTGTCGTCCGCTTTTTGCCCCGAATCAACTGTGATATGCTTAAGCGCTCCGTGACCCTGAACGCGATAAGCGGGTTCGAAAAGTATGGATGCGTAATGGAAACTGCTTCCGGTTGTCCACATCTAAACTGTTTCTCTCTGTTGTTTCCAATGTAAATTTGGCATCAGGGGAGAAAATGAGACGTTCCTCACCATTCGTTTGCTTTCTCCGGCAAAAGTCTCACGTACGTACAGCGCTCCGACGGCATTCTCCATGCTGCTCTGGACGTAACGAACACAATCTCGCCACCAGGCATCCTCCACTGTTGTTCCATACAGAGTCTGAAACACACACACACACACATGTGAAATTAGCGGAAACTTTGTCATTCACTAACCGAGCTTTTTGTTGCGGCGGAGTCTACCTTCCTGTAACGGGCCCTGGCGTCTTTGAAACGACGACTCAAGCTGTTAACTCTGTCAATGACCAGCTGCCAGGTGAGATAGTTCTGCATAGTTCTGCACAGATGAAGCGTTACTATATTGGTGCATTTCTCTTTCTTTGTTTTTTTTTTTCTTTGCACGAGTGCCTTTTGCTGACCGAACGCTATGTCTGGCAAGGACTTCATTCATCTTGTCCAGGTAAGGCGAGCCGTAGATCACCACTTCTTCTTCCAACTCCACATCGAGAGACACGCTGGATAGCACGCCTTGAATAAACCGTCTCCAATTAAACCCCTGAAATACAACAAGAGGTTTCTTTTAAGGACCAGGTGTTATTTATTCCTAGTCTTCTGATGAATAAATCGCCTTTTAGAGGCTTCAACAGAAACCAAAAAATTCTGGTGAAAATGCATTTTAGGCATCGGAAATACAAAAGCCTCAAATTCGGCAGCTGCTGTCACGCGGCTTCATGACCGTGACATCTAATTGTTGACAGTTACAAAACAAACATTGGAAAATGAGCCGCGGGCTGTTTCAGCAACTCTCAAGACAAAGACATGATTATCTAATCACGTGTAGCAGCCCGCTGTCGACAATTCCCATCGCAACATTCGTGTTAATTACTTTCTTTTGTCCGAGCGAACCATTGTAATCAACTGCTTCTCGACGTCCTGTGTGTTATCTCCGGAGCCAGACCCACAGTCCTCACTCACGTTAAAGCTGAATGTGCTCTGCAGCTCGTTCAGCGTCATCTTGTTGTAAAGTACAGTGACATCCTGGCGTTCCTCAGCCGGCAACGTGGCCTGGATGGAGGGAAATCATCGGTGTCATTGTACAAATGCTGCCAAACATGTGCCATGAAATGTTTACAGCTTGTTGTTACACCTGAAAATGTAACCGTGCGTATGAGTCGATTTTATTATTTATCCATTCCTGCTCTCCAGAGGTATGAAAGCGCCTCCCTTTTCGCGTTTATCGTCGCACTCACGTTGGCAATGTCCGTCTCCAGGTCCAACACTTGCATCATTTCCTCCCACACGCGTTCATCGTCCTGTGTCAGGTTCCTGTCCTCCCGTGTCATCTTGGCGATGGCCACCATGAAGTGAAGGTAGGCCTCTCGAACCTACGATGACATTCGTAAATGGTAATGACAATGTGTATGCTGTTATCAATAGAATAATTGGCCCTTTCGTGCCTCACCTTTTTGTAGTTTCCATCATTGAAATAATAATCTCTTGAAGGCATCCCAAGTCCTGGCTGGTCAATCTAAACAAAATAAATGATATTCTCTTACGTACCATAACATAATATTACAGTGACTTTCCTTTTTCCTAGATTCAAAATGTTAAAATAACATTGATAGTAGTTGATGTGCCAGAAAAGTATTCTTTCATGGAAAAAAAAATAGATTTCAAATAAATAATGCGTATAAAGATCATGTTCATGAAAACCAGACTCTACATGAGACAGACCCCCCCCCCCCCAAAAGTGATTTCTATGAGAGTGTGACAAGTGGAAAAGTGTTTAAAACACCTGGGAATGGTCTGAATTTTGGGGCGTGGCATAATACGCACAATAATCTTCTTTAAACAGTAGGTTGGTTCACTTTTGGCTCACTTTTAAGGAAATTGGCATCACGAAGTGATCGAATACATGTCGATGATAAAGGGATGTCGATCTTACATAAACGATATGGCGCCGAGAATCCCGGTCGTCGGTCCACACGTACATGTCCAGTAGCGCCTTCTTGTGAAAGCGAGATGTCATTGTGGCCAGAGTGTCCTCGAGGTTCCATTCTTCTTCTGCAGTAAAATCAAATATAGTATAACCCATACAGCGCTCACATTTCTATCAAGGTTCAATAAAAATGACAAGAATGAGATCATAGATTAAATACGGATGATTTGGACCCTGCGAGTATCAGATAATTAAAAAGAATATTTTGCAGTTTAAGGCAGCATGGTGTACTAGGGATTAGCACATCCGCCACACGGTTCTTAAGATTCAGGGTCCAAATTTCTACACAGGACATCCTGTGGGCTTCCCCAAATGTGACCCAAATAAGGCTAAATGGTTTACAAAATGGATGGATTGATTTTGCACAATGTCAAAAAAGAAAGGGAAAAAAAAAGTCATGAAAATATTTTGATTATGATTCAATGTGAGTTGCTTCATTTAAAATATATATAAAAATTTAACACGGATCAGTCTTTCAATATAGTGTTTTTTAATTTTATTTATTTATCATTTATATTATAATTTCACATGTTAAATTCAGTTCTGAGAAGTCAATCAATATGAAATGTGTTTTTATTTTCTAAGAAAAAAAAGTTTTTTTTTCCATGAAATACAGACCAGTAATTATTTTTTGTTTTTTGTAAAGAACTCATGACCACATTTTTTCATTTAATACAGAGCACAGATTCAGTATTAACTATTTTCTCATTTTTATAGCAACATGCCTTCTTTGCAACAAAGTAATTCTTAATCACAAAATAATATTCTAGTCAGCTAGTTGGACATTTTGTTTTTACCAGAGGTGGCATTCCAGTCATCAGAAGTCACAGGCCAGTCGCCAATAGTGTCGATGAGCCTCAGGAGGGGCTGAGAATCGCGTTGCTCGATGAGGCCTAAATAAGTCAAGCGGTCACAACATTAGGGACACCTGCACAGGTCCAATGCAACACCTGTCCCCAACATATTTTCTTAATCTATCTTTTAGATGTAGACGACTGATGAGCTTACTCTCATTCAAGCAGGAGCTGTAAAGGATTTTAGCTTTCTTGATGGCATCTCTGTCTTGTTCGCTCTGCGTCTCCAAAGCACCTGAAAGGCAGGCGACAGCACACGGTCACCGGCTTTATCTTTGTGGGAAGTAAAGATCACCATTGGCATCGGCGTTATATTTTAATTCAGAGGTGATTCGTTTGCTAAATTAATGCAAGAAGAAAAAAAAAAAACCAAAAACCTACAACTACAAACTACAAATATTTAATATAGAGCAGTTATTTGAAATAATTTGTTTCATTAGAAAAAGACAATTTTGGTCTTTTTGGGCTATAGTTTGAATATTTATATGCGTTTTATTATTATTTTTTAAAATTTAATACAAGGCAGTGATGCAGTGTGACTTGATTCCTTTAACAATGCAAAATATATGTAAAACAATTCTATGAAATAAATAATTAACTGGATTTTTTTCCTTCAAAATTAAAACAGATCTAAATGTACCGGTAATCAAATTTAATGCATTGAAAATTATATATTTAAAAATATGTATGTGCAGAGCAGTGATTCAATGAGATTGTTCATAATTTTTAAAAACAGGACAGAACAGTGATTATATTTCCAAGAGTCAAAATGATATTGATATTTTTTAAGAAATAACTAAGTCTAATAAATAAAAAAAAAAAAACACACTTTAGTTCATTTGGAGATAAACTGGACGACCTATACTCTGCACGGTATGGACATATTTACAAATACCATGTATTAAATCATATGATTTTACTATATATCATCGAATGTTAAACATTCTAAATCATTTCTGTTTTTCGATTAGGATTTAATTCACCGTCAGGAATTAAAATGTGTTTAAAAAAAGAAAAAAAAAAGACAACCATTTGCTGTCTCCTGCTCAAGTTTAGACCTCCAACCCAGCCTTTTCCAAAAATGTTATCCCATTTTATCACGCAGCTCCCCACCCCCACAGAGCTTCAGAAAAGCCTGCTCTTTAGTAAAATCTCACACTTGAGGACCATGGCGCAATCACGTGGTTTGGCAATCTCTGCTCGAACCAATGAAGGGCCACATCCTGACCTTTGAGCACAATCTCCAGCTTGTCCCTGAGGATGTCAAAGACGCTGTGACGCGAGCTGGTCTCGGGGATGACATGGCGCTCCAGCCAGCCCCCGCAGGCGTACTGGTAGAAGTTATCGCAGGGCTTCACCGACGCATCCATGTTCTGCAGGAGCCGCGACGCTTTGGTGGGAAGACAGGACGATTGCAGGCGGGGGCGGGGGGTGTCAGAATAAGACTTATTTTTATGACATGCTTTTAATTTTTGAAGGCCTCACCTGCTGTAACGCAGTCTGCCGTTGTGCACACGGTGTCGAGTTTGGAGTGACGCAGCTGACCTGGGTGGAGACAATGAACTTGCTACCTCAAACACCTCAAACCTTGTACCAGTTTGCCTTAAAACAAAAATGTTTACATTGCACTATATTCAAATTAATAATGTGTGTGTGTGTGTGTGGGGGGGGGGGTCTGAAAGTACAGTGTTAAACTTTCATTGAAAGAGGGCATAATATATCAAATTGACTTTCTAATGGCTTTTATGTTGTTATTTGGGTCTCGGAAGTGCCCAACTGGACTGCTCTGTTTGTCTCGTGCAAGTAGGCTTCACCTGCCTCTACAGCAGGGGTGTCAAACATACGGCCCCCGCGGCCCGCCCCGGCCCCC